TACTGATCCGTCGTTTGATCCGAGGCAGCTACATATGTCCAACTTAGGAGACCTGTCTTTAGCTTGAAGAGTAAAGCACTTATACAAAGTTTATCAACCCATAACAAGCATTACATATCTAAAGTTGTGTTCAAAAATACCATAAAATGTACCTCATAAACACGTGGCAAAACAAAGGTTCTTATGTAGAATACATTATCGAGGAAATAAAGCGTTTTAGCCTCTGCATTACAGCTTCTCCTGACGGTCACTGGTTTAAATCATCATACTCAGCGCTTATGTAACCGTTTTATTGTTTTCTGTGAGTATTTTGAATCCCTATCCAAGATAAATAATCAGATTCCATGTTTGCAAATTCCTCAATTTTCTGTTTCGTTACGCACACAGAACGGGATTTTCGAGCATAGAGTTTGGTCTTTTGATTTAAATCCGATTTTACCTGAAATGATTCAAAATCCTGCTACTCTTATCTCATTAATGAATTCAAAACAACCAAATTATTTTGTAAGGATTCCATGGCGGTAAACATAGTGAAGCACCTCACACATTGGAGCAAGAACGCGAAATGTGAAGAGACAGTTATACAAAATCCTTTAAACACCACAAATTCCATTAATGAGGGATTACATGGCCCACTGAATACAGGCAATTTTGGTCTCTAGGGCATTACAGACGCGGACTGCTTTGTTATATGGCAAAGAATTAATCTATTTCTATCTTGCATGCGTGCAGGTTGCCATGTTTAATTTAAGGCACGCTACCGACAGCAAAAAAACGTAATTCCGCGTCTTTATATATTTTACGAGGAAAAAAGCTTCAAAGGAGCTGTCTATATCTGGAACAGAGACAAAACTACAAGAGTACGGCAAGGAAAAAGGGCTTTTTTGCTTTTGTTGAGAGATAAAATATTTATTTGAAAACTAAAGAGTACAACTGCGAAACTAAGGAATGGGCTATTAGCGATGAGAAGATTACAATCAGATAATACGCATTTCATATATTACCCAGGAACTTCGACAACTGAGAAGAGAACGTTTCTCAACATGACCGACTTGGTTTTTTATACATTTCAAACATTCTCCATCTCTTAATAAATAAGGATACTGAAGTATAAAACCCCTAAAAGTTTAGAGAATATGTTAACCTTGTAAACATATAATAGATGAAGTTTTTCATTATTGTATGAGTCGCTCAAATAATTAGGAAAACAAGAGAGTTCAAATTTATATCTCAAGTCTAAAAAAAATCATGTCAATTCATTCTAGTCGCTAGCAGAGTTATTATCGCATCACAAGTTGTTGTGACTGATGTGAAGTCACTGTAAAATATATAAGAGAAATTGCAGTAATGTACTCCAATTTTGATAGTGCTTAAAGAAGTCCCAGAGTGTATATGTGGTTATTCTCAAAGTAAAACGCGCAAAAGTACTAAGCTTTTAAAATGACTGCCCATTTATGATAAGCCAACGGCAATCAGTATCGCCTAGGCCTCGGCACGAGATCTCCGATTAAACTTCACGAGAACGAATACCTCTTTAAAAGCCAGAAAATTACGAAGCCCCCTTTGTAACCTGTTCAAACACGCGCACCAGGACAAGCACTGCAGTGCTTGTCGTGATTTCAAACAAACAGGCAAACACGCGCAATCAGGACAAGCACTGCAGTGCTTGTCCTGATTGCGCGTGTTTGAACAGGTTACAAAGGGGCTTCGTAATTTTCTAGCTTTTTAAGAGGTTATTCGTTCTCGTGAAGTTTGATCGGAGATCTCGTGGCCAGGCATAGGCGATACTGATTGCCGTTGGCTTATCATAAATGGGCAGTCATTTTAAAAGCTTAGTACTCACTTTTGCGCGTTTTACTTTGAGAATAACCACATATACACTCTGAAAATGTCCAACTTCTTTGAGCGCCATCAAAATTGGAGTATATTACTGCAATTTCTCTTATATTTTACAGTGCCTTCACATCAGTCACAACAACTTGTGATGCGATAATAACTCTGCTAGCGACTAAAATGAATTGACATGATTTTTTAGATTGAGATATAAATTTGAACTCTCTTGTTTTCCTAATTATTATTTGAGCGACTCATACAATATTGAAAAACTTCATCTATCATATGTTTACAAGGTTAACATATTCTCTAAACTTTTAGTTTGGTTTTATACTTCAGTATTTATTTATTAAGAGATGGAGAATGCTTGAAAATGTATAAAAAAACCAA